GATGTTTATCAGAAATATGACATTTTAAAGCTTAAGAAGTTGTAAAGATTTGGGAACAATGTAAGCATTTATAAATCATCTTATTTAATGTATCGAGAGTTGTATTGAAAAAATTGTTTAACGAAATTTATTTTCTTTCGATAAGATATTTAATAATTTTTAAAGCAATCAGAAATTGAATTATTATTATTTAATCGATAAACTACATTGACTTTGATAATTGAATATCATTTAAATAATACACTTAAACAAATATAGTAATTGCAAACAATTAATAGATTTTAATAATTGAAGAATCACAATTAAATAAACTAAATCGCAAAGTAAATCATTTTAAGTGAGATTCATAACGATTGATATCAAAAATAGTAAAAGTATATTATATAAGGTAACTTTTCTTAAACTTTCTATTAACTTTCTAATTGTGCTTTTTTAACTTTTTTTTTTTCTCTCGCTTTCTAACATTTTTTTTTTCGCATGCTTTTTAACTTTTCTTTACGCTCTCTTTTTAAAATATTAGCGCTTTCTTACTCATTCTTTTCAAATTTTCTCATTTTCTCACACTTTTTTTTTTAAAAAAAAATGACTTATAAATATTGGAGAATTCAATCTTCAAAAATGTCAAACTGAAAATATCGTAAATCAGATGAGAAACATAGTGATGAAAGTTCATTAAGAAATACAGAAGGTAATAATAATTTCTACATTATTTATATTATTGTTACATAAAAGAAGACATGGATGATGATGATCTAAAGGATGATGTCGATCCCTAAGAAATCATATATGTCTTCTATGTCATCTATGTCGTCTATAGCATATATTTCTTTTATACAATATATTTCTTTTATTTATTTTATCTTATTTATCTTATATATTTATTATATTTTATATATTTTATTTATTGTATTTATTTCTTTTATATCTTTGATAACTTTATATTTTTTATTTTATATAAATAGAGGACTATTTCTTTTAGCTTAGCAGGGTGTCTGACATATAGTTTTATATAATAGTTTGATTTAATCCCTCTAACATAATTATATAGTACAGAGTGCTGACTAAGGCAGTACTCTATTGTTATAGTTATTAAATAAACTGTTAATTTACCAACATGCTTCTAAATCTAAATATTAAATTAAACCTTCTGTTTACCACCTATAAATATTGCTTCACTTATCACTCATAAGCATCTTAAAGAACTGACCGTAATACTATTTATAGTTGTATTAGAAACACAGTATGAAAAGAGTCTAAGTAAATAGAAACATTAAGTTTATTTTCAAGATTTGTAATGTGTGATGAATATATACAATAATTGTTATTAGTTTATGTTATAATTTTTTATTTTTATTTTCTCTAGGTTATTTGCACAAATTATGAATGAAATTAATTTGAAAAAAGAAGAGTTTTTGATTATTGCTGATGCAAAAAGTCATCATGCAATCCGCTAAGCATCCCTAAAAGAAGTCTATACATCAATCACAAACATGTGAAAGGGGATATATATAGCAGGAGTTTATATAATATTATTTGTAGTGTTTTTAATGAGTTGAGTTAAGTCGAATTTTGAATCAAAATTATCTTACATATCTTTAATTTAAAGTACTTATTTATTATGTGTAACTAAAATTTACAATTATGCATAATTATGCGAGTCAAATATGTGAGTTTATACAAGTTATTTTTAGAATTCTAATTATCTGAATTCTTCTTTATATTCATCTTGCCCTAATCAGAATGATATGCTATAAAGAGATTAAACGATGAAAAGCTAAAGCAAAGCAGATGAAGCAAGAACAGGAAAATCTAATTAAATGGTGATAAAATTAGAAATGCCAAATATATCATCTTATGAATAAACTTGAAGTGGCTATTATCAATGATTAACCAACCTTTGTTGTGCAAAAGATCATAAAAAACTACAAGAAACCTTAAATGTGCTTATTGGAATCCAAAATAAGGAAATTCAGAATGAAAATAAGCTAGATGAGTTAAATGAACTAGATATAGTTACTTATTTAGCAAATGATAATGATAGTTTAGAAGATGTGAAGGAAGAAGAAGAGGTTATTGAATCTGAGATTATTCAAGAAACGTCAGCGAAAGCAATTCAGGCTCTTTGTTCATCATGAGAATGCTTATAGAATCAGAAAAAATTTATCAAGTTGTCACATATAACAATATCCAACATGTTACATTCAAAGAAATAACATTTATAGAAAAAGAAAAGTTAGAAGTAATAAAAATTGTTAATTTTATTAGACCATTCGTTCAACAGCGCACAGATAACAATAAATTTTCAGAACCTCACATCCTAACATGTGTACTACTAGCTGCACTGGCTAATGCTATTACAATTATTATTAGTTTTTCCTCTCTTGTTTGCAAATTATCAATCATATCAAAGTACATTTGTACTTTACATCTTACAGCTGCTGGAGTGTACGATGCATTTCATAAATAATATGATATACCAGTTAATGATACAAACTGGATTACTAATTCTAATCAAGCAGGAAAGAATAAACCTACTATCTTCAAAGCATTTTTTAACACAAATAAAGTATAATTACTTATGGATTCCCAAGGTCTTCAATTTAATTGGAATGTGATTTTTGTTAATAAATGGATAATACGCTTGCTAGAAAAGGCAAAGCTTAGCAAAGAATTTATCAAATCAAATTTTTAAGTAAGAAAAAAAGAGAAGGATAAAACTAATATCACAAAACCAATACTAATGATTCCAACTTTAGATCGCTCAAACATGGAAGTACTAGCTGAAATTCATATGAAAAAGTTAAGGATTTGACTAAAATCCTAACACCTTTACGCAAAAAGATTTCATAGCTTGAGCTACAGCGAATGAAGATCAGTCAAAAGGTCAGGAAGTTACAATAGGACCTGGGTTCTGATAATTACAATGAGTTAAAAAAAATCAGGTAAGAAATATCAATTAAACGTTTTAAACTTATCAAATTAGAAAAAGACCTTTCAATTGCAAGAAGTTTATTGCATTCTCTGAATAAGATTTTGAATTGTGCAAGTATTGCAAGTACTATACGTATCACAGCATCTAAAAGTGCAAACTCAGCTAAAAAAAAATTATTGAATGAAGTTAAAAAGGAAGACTACATAGAAAAGGTAAAATTTATATAATATTATTATTGTTTTTTTATTGTCTTGATTAATTTTTAACTCTTTATCTATCCTAAAAATAGATGGATTTACTTCTGAAAATAATGAGACATTTTTCTTCACAGCAGAAAGTTGTTTTTTCAGGGACAGACCCGAATACTGTCATAATATCTATCATCTCGCTAAGATCTCTCGAAATGATTCTTGCTGATATAAATCGTTTTAATATTCTTGCTTTTTATGAAGATAGTTCTGAAGATATGAGGATAATCCAGACCTTACACCCTATAATTTTAATGTTAAACTTCTTTCAAAATCCTACAAAATCATTACTGGTCTCATTAATAAAGTAACCTTTTTGAAGAAGCACCAAAAAAAATGAGAATGATGACAAAAGTGAGGTATAGATAAGGAGATTTAACAGAAGAAACGAGCAAAGGAAACTGGAAGTGAGAGATTTGAACTAAAAGAGCTTATGGTAAAATAATAGCACAAGAACAGAAACACATTCATGCTCATATTCAGCTTCTTTTCAATTCACCAAAACCTATTCTAATCTACTGTATTGGGTATTGGATAGGGATCAATAGCACTATTAAAGGATATTGTCAAAGAAGTATGAGAAAAATTCAAAAATAACATTGCATTCATAGACATATTGGCATAACCAACAAGTTCAATACCTCAAAGATTTGTCTATATTACTTTTCCAAACTTGTTCTTCATCGCGCCCGCAGGAACATTAATGGAAAAGAGCAGACTGTTCACCTTCATAGCGCAGTAGAATGCGTTTATCCTCAGTGTCTGGCAAGGAAGTTAAATTACATAACACAAAGAAGGGACGCTAATGCATCTGCAAACATTGCTCTGTCTGGAGCATCGATTATTCTAGTTGCTGACCGTCAGCCCCTTCCTCCATTTCATCGTAATTCATCTAATTAAACAAGGTATAACCTTACAAACGAACTCCTTTCAGTTGTGATACCAGAACTGGTTTTCTGTGACTTCATTCGAGATGAATGAATATGAAGTCTACTCAAACGGTTAATGTTGACGAAGTCAAAAAGTCAATTTGAAAAGGCTCATAATTAGTACCATTAGGTAACTTTGATCTGAACCAAAATTCCGGTTAGTTAAAACAACATTTAGTTAGTTACACGGCAAAGGCTGACTCATAGCTCGAGATGATTAAAATCAGTTGTCGTTACTGATCAACAATAAAACTATTATTAACTGATCTAGAATTTTCGTAACTTTTAGGTGTTGAACAAATTGTCAATTGGATCATTGGACCTAGGTCATATTTAAACTCGTTATCACTTCGAACTTTGATAATTTGACAAGCTTCACCAAAAACAATTGACAAAGAAATTGTTGTAACGGAAATCGGAAGAAAACTCGGTAATTGGAACGTTTATCGAGATGTAAAAAAAAATAGCTAGTCCAAAATTCATAGAACTGGATTCACAAGTTTAAAGAAACTTAAAATTGCGGCAAATAAGTTTGTTTAGCCTTGGTTGGCTGATTTATCCTATTAATGATAATAACTGGGTCTACAATTAAAAGTGTTATACCTCTAAGATTTTTCGGAATTATTTGACCCTGAGATTGTTTCCCCTAAATATTACGGCGTGCAAAAAAAGGTTAAGATATTTATTAATAATAATATCGATATATTTATCATAATAATATTTCACCCTGGCTGGCATTGTCAAACTTAAAGTAATATATAATAAGCACACGTTAGTTGATGCACAGGTTAGTGCACACGTGTTAACGATGCACAAATGTTAGTTAGCACACATCAGTGTGCTACCCACGCGCCCTTCCTTCTTTTGTTCCGTAATAAATAAAATTTCAAAATGCCGAATTCTGAGGAAGCGACCTCAACTACAGCAGCATTAATAGAATTGAACAGACCCAAAATCCCGAAATTTAATATTTCTTTTCCATATGCGGCACAGCCTGATATCAGTTAGTCCATTTTTTTATTCTTTTTTTTTTTTAAAAAAAAAAAAAAAACTAATTTTTAAAAAGTAATTCTTTGGTATTATCTTAAAAGTTCGAGCTAATCAAAAGGATGTTTATTATCAACGCGTTTTGGAAGAACAAGTAACCAATGTATTTCGAACGTTTTTTGGTATGTCTTTTAAATACTTCAAATTGATCCTTAATTTTAAGAACAAATAATCATAAATCAATTTTTCTAGGGACGAGAATACAACATCAGTATCAAAAAGAAGTTAACGTGATTTCCGATCTATTTTATTTTGGTTTAACAACTTTATTAGGTAATAAAAAAAAATTCCCTAACAAGTTGTTTGATTTTCTAATTTTCTCTTTTTTTATTTTATTTGACAAGGTACTCAAACCTTAGGCGAAGAATACTGCGATATTATGCAAACCTCAGAATCAAGCAAACAATTTCCTTCTACAAGCGTAAGCATCCAGTTAATTATCTTCAAACTTGATTCCTTTTATAACTTAAATAATTATAATAATTATTATTAACAATGTAATCAGAAACGAGCCACACTGATCTTTTGGCACGTGATCCTTCCTTATTTATACACGAGAGGTATATCCGAATTGCGTAAACGTACAAAACCTTCACGGAAAAAATTATTACAGAAAGGCAAACAACTTGAAGATAATAGCAGTAATGATAGCAACACGAAATATTTTGATTTGATATATAAATTACTTCCTAAATTACAGACATTCCTTAAAAATCATGTTCATGCAATTCATCTCGCTATATTTTACTTCTATGGTGCTTATTATAGTTTATCGAAACGAGTCACTGGAATTCGTTATGTATATATGAATTTATACCTTTTTATTAGGAATTAGTTGGAAATTATGATTTTCTGCTTGTTAATTTTTTTATTTTCTATTGTCTAGATATTTACAAGACAATTGGGACCTCATGAACAACGTCTCGGTTATGAGATACTTGGATTTTTACTTGTAGTACAGTTTATCATCCAAGCAAACCTTTACCGAAGGACTTTGGATGATGGTGTATCCAATAAAGATGATGATGATAATTCTGAGTAAGCATCAAAGTTGATTTACGGCTGATTTTCAATAATACCTTTAATCAATACATTTACTACTATAACAGGGATGAAGCAGATTTGTCGTTCACGTCGACATTAGGATTAACGCCTCAAGAAATTGCAGCTCGTAAATGTACCCTTTGTCTTTCACCACGCAAGAACACTACGGCTACTCCTTGTGGTCATTTGTTTTGTTGGACTTGTATTATTGAATGGTGTAACAACAAGGTAAAGAAAAAAAATTCTCATTTTTTTTTTTTTTTTTGAAATCGAAATTAATTAAATTTCTCTCTTGTAATAATAATAGGCTGAATGTCCATTATGCAGACAATATGTTAACCTTTCGCATCTTCTCCCAATTTATAATTATTAATTAAATTATTGTCATTTACAAAGTGCAATTAAGTAATAAATTATCAATTACTCTGGTTTTTCCAACGTACAAAGCACCTGACAAAATCGCTCCCTTTTCCTCTTCAATTTCTTGTAATTCCTCTAAAGTTCTAGGATCAACTAAAGATAAATAATCCAATTTTAATTCGAACCCCAAATTTTTTTCCATAACTTCTTTAGTAACTTTTTCAATTAATTCGTAACCTTTATTTAACAAGATTTCTCTATTCTTTTCACCTTGATCAAATTCATTTTTAATAGCGGACAACCCTTTAAACAATGTCGTAGCATAATTACGCTGATCAGGTGTTAAATATTTATTACGAGAACTCATTGCCAATCCATCATATTCTCTCCCGGTTGTTCCAACATGCATTTCAATAGGAAAATGTAAATCGGAAATTAAAGTACGAATTACTATACATTGTTGTGCATCTTTTTGACCAAAAAAGACGCAATTTGGTTGTACTATATTAAATAATTTTGTCACTACCGTTGACACTCCACGAAAAAATAACGGTCTTGATTTACCTTCCATCTTTCACAACAGATTATTTTTTTTTTAAAAAAAAAATATATAAATATAAATTCATCTTACTATAAGAGGAGTATGATAAAAGAACGATAATAATTAAATACCTGATGGGATTTATCTCTTACTTCAACAAAGGCACCTTTTTGTTTTTCGACGTCAAGTGGAATACCATATGGATAAATTTCTTCAACTTTAGGTAAAAATACAGCATCAACACAGTCCAATGAACGAAGTAATTCTAAATCATTTGAAAGTGTGCGAGGATATTTATCTAAATCTTCATTTGGCGCGAATTGGGCCGGGTTAACGAATATTGATACTACAACTATTGGACAATGTTGACTCCCTTGTTTCACTATAATCAAGAATAACATATGAGAGAGCAATAAGAAAATTCGTAGAATATAAGCGTGGATTTAAAAGAGAAGAATCTACCATATCGCCTTTTACCTAGACTTAAATGACCTTCATGTAATGAGCCCATCGTAGGTATGAATGCAACCTGTTTATCTTGTTTTATACATTGTTGTCTCCAACTTCTTAATGAAGGTATGTTATCAAACACAAGTATTTCTTTTCGAGAACTCATTTTTTTATTTTGAATCTGAAAATCTTAATTCGACAAAAAAAAATGAACCAGGTTCCTGATCATCAACTTAGAAAATACTTATATTGACACATTTAGAAATTTTGTATTAACCGGGTATTTTGGTCGGTAGGATATAAAATTTTTATTTCGGTATAATACCCGGGTCTTTAAAGTGGGGATTCAAAAAGGGGATATCTTAATATCTTATGCATTGCTAAAGAATAACATTTTAGATGCTTTTAAAGATCAATTCAATATACAATCAGACCTCTATTATAGTAAATGAATCAGGATCATACTAAAGAAAAATTTTAAAGGATCTCTATACAAATAAGAGTGTATATTTAAAAAGAAGTTTTACTATAATAATAAGTGAAAAAATAAATATTGTGAATCTTAAAATTGTGGTTTTTGATTTAAATAATCAAAAGTTTAAATACAAATAAATTTTATATTGAATGTTATATCTGTTTTGTAAACCTTTTATATATCCTTAAGAATTAAAATAGTACAAATAATAAATCTTATAAAGGAAATATTAGCATATTCAACTAGTTATGTTTTAAGCTATAATCTTTAATAAGAAATTTTATTAAGTTATTTAAAAATCTATATGTTTAACTATTTTTATATAAAAATTAATCTTCTTATATGCTTTATGTCTCTTTTGAGTCTTTAAAGGATCAATTTAAAAATACTCTCCGACTATTTCATTATATTTTTCTGATTTCATAATGCTTAAAAAATACAATTTAATATTGCTTTATTTAAAAGTTTATAGAAAACTTCATTGTTTTATAATATGCAGTTTTTTAGTTATTCAAAATAAAATAAAATGAACATTGCTAATAAAATCACATTACAGATAATTATTTGAAAGACTATAAATAATTACTATATGTTACATCACTTAAAATTTAATAAACAAGACAAAAATAAATTTATAATATATTAATTAATCTAAAATAAATATTTAATATATAAATAAATAAAATATTTAGGGTTATATAAAATATTGCCATGGCGATATAACGCTAGACCCTAAATATCATGTGATAGTAGATCATGTAACTTAGATTTATTAATTATAATATCACGTGATTAATGGTCATGTAACTTTAACTTTATTATTTGATTATAATAAATGCAATTTATATAAGATAAATCAAAATTAATCTTTCTAACCCTCCTTGCAGTTCTTTTGATAATGTCTAATACCTTTATATTTTTTACATCGTCATTGATTTGCCTTGACTTTTGATACTTCATGTTCTGATTTATATCTTTTAGTACCAATCAAACAGCCTTTATCACGACGAATTTTCAGATTTTGCAATTAACAAATGGATGGATCAATATTCTCTTTATTCAAGTGATCATCCTATTGCATATCTTCTAAATCTGACTAATCATCAATATCATTTTTCACAAAATCTTGAAGCATTTCCATTAATTCTTAAGATTTTTCTTGCTTTGCAATACTTTATTAAGTGCTTTCTTGTATATGCTACTAATATTTCTATATGTTATCTTTTGTTCTTTAAAATCTGCTTCTTGTTTAAAAAAATATAAATATGGAACTGTACAATTAGTAATAACTTCAATAAATTAGTTTTGAGAGTATTTGTCTGTAATTATAAAGGATTCTTTTACTCCATTTTCCTTATTACAATACCAGTATGAAGATAACATTCTGATATAAAACATTGCTGAGCTTGTATTTAACATTAATTGAAAATAATACCTACATACTATATCACATCATATAATAGAAAGGCAAGAACATATGTGAGATCGATTCTTTAACAATAAAATATGATGTTTGACCTTCAATGTATTGCCAACTTTAATTGCCTATATCTTTTGTATATTTTCTGATCCTACAAAATTGATCAGCTGGTTAAAGGTAATTTATGCATCATCAACATTGAATTCTTCCTGATTATTATTTAATTTGATGTTTTGATCAGAAGTTTCTGAAACTTTTCTTATAATAACATTTGCAGTATAATAAACTGATTAATTGATCTCATTTTATTGCATTTGTAAGATTGTCAGTGTAAGAAATCTTTTGATACAATTATCTACATTATTAAATAGGAAATTTTCTTTATTTTAATTTTTAATATCCAGAATCGCGAGCCGCTAAAATCTATACTTGTTCTCCTTATCTTGAATATCTAGCAGTCTGTTAATTTTGGTTATAAGTTCATATAGCGAAATATTTGAATAATATAATAAACGTTTCAAGCTTATATTTACAGATTCTACACACGATATAGCAATCATGCCTTCTGTAAAATTAAAAAATGTAAAACAATGCATCTAATATGTCTTTAATTTATAAAAAAATTCTAAATAATTTGTGCATTAGGATAATCTTGAATCAGCTTATCAAATTGTTGCTGAAAGATAACTTCTTTTAAACTATTACAACATTGATAAAAATCCTTAAGAAACTTTTTATATATTTCCTCTAATACCTTTCTAAGATTCGTAAATTCTGAATAATATGATAGGTGCAGTGAATTAGATAAGTTGTGGTAAATACTTGACGAATTGCAATATCAACTGCCGGATTTGCATTAGTAAGAATAACAGCCAGATAAACATTAGTTGCTTTGATAATTTCCTGAAACATCCAAATATGTGAATCAATACTTCATCAGGTAAAAGTGCTTGTATCAATAATATATTTCACTGATCATTATCAAATTCAACGAATAATGATAATGCCATTTCATAATGATTTGTTTTATAAATGATATCATTTAAAACGTAATTAGAGTATTATATCTAATATTCGACTTAGTTCAGCGTCATTCAAAATAGGTGAGTTAAAGTGTTATCACTATTTCATCTACATATAACAACCCAATGTGTATCATCATTTTTCTGCTAATTAAGCTAGTTGGAAACTTATAAATTCAAATATTAAATCTTATTATATACCCTAGATGTATATATCTATAATAAATTATAATAAATACGAATATACCTGTACAGCATCATTAGACAAGAATTTGTTAGTAAGACAGAAGTTTTATATTGCTATGTATAGATCTTTTGAATAAATTGGCTGTGTTGGATATTTACTTTCTAAGAACTTTCTTTGTGCTGTAGCACTGAACTTACAGTTTTTTGTCATAAACTTTATATTAACTAGCATTTCATCAGTAAATCTTTTGCAATCTTTAAATTCGATTTGATCTTATTTAGAAGATGGTTATGATTATCAACAATTTTGTTGATGATTATATTATTTTTAGGATTATTGATCTTTGAACATGATATGTTAACTATAAAAAGACATTGTGTTTTTTTCGTAACTGTATTTTTTGTTAAATTTGATTTGTAGAAATGTTTATGATTACACATAAAACTTCTTTAACATATAATACCATTGTCTCAGTGTATACAGTCTTTTATAATTCAAAATCCTTACTTTTAACCCATTCATTAAGAAAGTTTTTACATGCTTTTCATGTTAAAAAAATCTTTCCAAAATTTAAAGTTGATGATTGGGATTCATTTGATATTATATTCCCTTGAAATTGCATACATTCTAATTATATGAAAACAAAAGGATAACACTTATGATTATGTTAGACATTATAAAAATATTATATATATGGTTTGCTTAACCTTACCTGGCTCAATAACAGAGATTGAAGAGGATTCACTATTTATTTTATTAACTAATAACAAATACAAATTAGAGCTAGCATACTATTATCTTATAATACTAACGACTGAAAATTAGTATTAATGCAAGATCAACAAAAGGATTTAGCTTTTATTTGATACTTTAGGGAGAACTCTGAAGGTTTTACAAATAATTATTACTTCAAATAATAGTGAATATTTAAAATAAACTTTAGATTTTTATTAAAGGATAAGGAATTCGCTACAATTATATTTATTAGCATATAATTGTTATTAGTATTTATCTTGTTGGTGATAAAAACTAATTGAGTTCCAATTATTTACAAATTATTATCTCTTGTTATTTACTACTATCTATTGCTACATAATATTGTTTACCTTAACCAAGTCCTAAAGCTATCTTATTTATACTAAATTTGCTAATATAAATAAATAAAATACTAATTGATTATAAATAATAAATGATTAATAATACAAAA